AAAATAACTTTTCCTGTTGAACGTTGAATTTCAAGACAAAATGTCATAAAATCATCTGTATTACATCCAATATAAAATGATCGAGATTTAGCTGCATATGTTCGTTCTTTAATAACAAATTCATGTCCAAATGGTCGACCATTATGTAAATAAGATACATTTTCATGATAATGACCTTCTTTTGTTGAAGGTTTTTCAGCTATATAAGATATTAAACAATGTAGATTTGGTTGTTGTTCTCCTGTATTAATTTGTTCATTTGATAATGTTAACATCATATCTCCATTCATAGTTTGCCAATAAATATAAACTGTAATATCATTCGATACTTGTGGATGATCAATTTTATATTGTTTATATTCTTGTGATATTGTTATAGGTAAAACATAATGATCATTAAATTCACTTGAAGGTATTGTTATAACAGTACCTTGAATAGGTCTTGAAATTGCATGAATATCACGTTGACCATATTTATCAATTATATCTTTTATAACAAAATCTTGATATTCTACACGAATGTTTGAATCAGGTTTTGGACCAAATGGTTCCATAGGTGGATCAAGTTCAATTTCATGTAATGTTTTAGTGATACGAGATTTAAAAGTAGTATTAATAAATTTTCGTGCATTAGGATTTAATGAATCAAATGTATTTTGTGACATATAAATATGATCAATATAATCAAGTGGAATAAGTTGAGGTAAATGTGCTTCAATATTTGCATGAGAATCTTTATTTTGCCAACATGTAAGAATTGTTTCTAAATCAATATTCATTGATTTTTTCTTTAAACTTTTACTTGTTGTAGCAATTAATTCAAGAGCAGTTGCATATTCATAACCTGTTATTGATGCATGTAATTTTGTTTTATGAAATAATTTAATATCATCATCTTTTGAATTTGAATTTTTACCTAACCAAGGTCGCCAATCAAAACAATTTCCACTAGCATATGATGTTGCTGCTTGCATAGAAAAATTTGCATCTGGATGATGAAGAATATCTCGTTTAAATACAATAAATATATCTCCATAGTAATGTCCTAAATGTGGTCCAAGAATACTAAAAACATTTTTATTTGTTCCTAAATCTTTATCACGTTCATAACCAATACCAGCTGGATCTGAATGAAGTTTTATTGAAGCTTGAGCTATTTCAATAGCTGTTGTTTTAATTGTATTTATGTCATCTTCAGTAAGAACATATGATAGAATAACTTTTTTATTTGTAATTAATTGTTGACGAGTTTCTGCATTTGCTTTATAAGATGATGATGTTGTTTCGTTTGTGTTTATATTTTCGAAATGTTCTTTTTCAAATTCTTCTATAACTAATGCTTGAATGTATTCTTTTGCATCTCTTGAACATTTTTTCTCTTTTAAAGGTTTAATTTGTCTTAATCGACTATGTTGAAGAACAGAAGTAGCAACAAACATTGGTTTCTTTAATTGTTCCATATAATCACGACTCATAACATGTCCATGAAGAAGTATTGATTCGAATATTGCTCGTCTACATCTATGAACAGGTTGAACAGTACGTATCCAATCGACGATCTCTTGTGGAATTGATCCTGATTTTAATGTTTCCCATTTCCCTTTCTTTACATAATTTGTAACACGTTCTATGTTATCATTTTGATTTTGAACAAAATCAATATCTTTATTTAAATTAAAATAACGTACAACACCACTATCTTCTAATGTAATTATATGTCGATATTTTGTTAAATGTTTTGAATCATGACGTTCGTTACATTTATCAGCATGTTTACATAGAAAACGAATATCACGAATTTTTGAATGTGTAAATGAATTTAAATGATCTTCTTGAACAAGTTTTGCACATCTATTACCAAATGGACAAAGACAACGATGTACATGAATCGATTTTTCCCAATGTAATGGATCTTTATCGATACAATTGCGTCCAAAAACACATACATGAGCAAAATTTAGATAATGTTGTTGAATGTCATCGGAAAGTTTTCTTGGATCTTTTGTCATTATGAATGTTTCATACATTTCACAATGATATGGTGTAAGTGAACATGGAGTTGAAAATGGATGTTTGTAATCTTCAATATGTTGTCTATCATGAAAATTAACACAATAACTTCCATAATTACAATGAGGCATATAATGACGAAATTTCTCACAATGATGTACATCATGTCTTTTATATGCTAAACATTTTTGAAAATAATCACACAATGGTAAATGTCGATATGCTCGTCCATGATCTTCACTTGTATCTTGACAGTTTCCTCCACTTGGACAATAAGACGGATGTTCATATTCTTGAGAATGTTTTTTATTGTCAATGTCTTTACATTGAACACCATGTTTACATGGTGTTCGATGTATAAATGAAGACGTATGAATCAAATCATTTATTTTATCACATGTACTTTTCAAACATTGTTGTTTACATAAAGTTGGATGAGAGTAATTTTGAGCATGTTTCGAATCATACATTTCATTACATTTTGCACTGTAAGGACAAGGTTGTAAATCAAAAATTGTTACATCATGTATAGTTGAACCATCTGATGAAATTCGATATGGACCAATGATTGTATTAGGATAATTTAATGATAAAATAGGTTGAACACATAAACCATCTAATTCATCTTTAAATGATTTATAATTTCCTTGTGGATTATGTTGTTGTCCAGTATTATGATCATTAATAATTGCAAATAGAATTGTTTGAAAGAAACCAGCATATTGTTCAATAACTGAACGAAATAATTTAGCAATATGATCAGGTGGATTTCGAAATGCACCACAACCAAGAGCTGATAATATAAGACAATCATGTTTATGTTTATAAGCAATTGAAAAAATATTTTCAATTTTTTTTCTCATTCCAACAGCATATTTAGGTGATAACATATTTCCATCTAATTTTGGATTTCTATATGCAGCCATAGCTAATGAACAAACATTTTCTAATGGTTTTTCCATATATTCATAACCTTTATCATCAGATTTTCGAAAAAATGTTAAACCAGATGTATAAATAGCTCCATATTCATCCATTGGATAGATTGTTGTAGAATCAGAAAGAGAACGAATTTCACCATCATGTGAACAATAAAATCGTTCTGATATTTCATCTTGAATAAAATCAAGATCAATATCAAGACTTCGAAAATAATCTGATCGTCGAAAAAGATTTTCTTCTTGTGCTCCATCACCTTTTCGATATCCACCACCTGGACTTATTGCATTAGCCATATTTAATAGAAGTGGTTTTTTATATTTTTTACAACAATCTTCATAAACAATAACACAATCTTCATTAATCACATTTACTTTTGTTTCTATGTAAGGAGTTGTTGTTAATTTTATTGATTGACTATGTTCTAATAATGAATCATGATTGTAAATGATTGTTTTTAATTTTGAATCTAAATTTAATGTAATTTGTTGATTGTTAATAAAATAATTTTTTTTACGTATAACTCCAATTGTATTTAACATAACAGTCATTTGAAGTAAATGACGAATTTGATCAGATGATAGATTTGAACGATGTCTTGTATTAATATTGGTCATACGATTTTGAGATTTAGTATTTTGAAATTGTTCAAGCCATATTTCTGAATTCCATTTATAACGAAAAATTGGATGATCAAAATCAGCAATAAATTGCATAATATCTGGTTTATAACGAATCATTTCATATTGATACCATGT